TGGCCTTTCTCGCGCCCACTGTGGCCATCAACTCGCGCGCATACAACGTGCTCGTCGGCACCAAGAAGTTCGCACACGTCGACGTGAGTTTAGTGAATGAGTCACATTCTCCATCTCTTGTAAAAAAAATAAAATGCGCTGACAACAACCACAACAGCGGTTACAATTTTATTAGCTAAGTATGGGAGTGTGGGGTCTTGCTATATCGATGGAACGGTATTGATACTATGAAAATGCACTTTTGAATTGAATTAACATTCACCAGTGGTTCAGCAGCTTACGCCTTTTATTGACGTGAAGTAACACAATAGCAACAGTACAGCGTGGGTCCTGTTGTACTTGTGACTAGTTTATGTTTTCGTCTGTTCAAAAGAGCACGGTGATGATCCCAACTATGATGCGGTTTTTAGCCGAGCAATCAGAGTCCAGGAAAAAGATGGTACCTTGGGAGAAGAACCCACACGTAAGTACTTACCCCTTTGTGTACTGTAAAAATATGTATGCATTTTCGTCTAGGCAAGCTACAACCTGAGACAGTGCTGTAAATTCATGGCGTGAGTTGTAAAATTATTGTTTCGAAGCAGTTCCTTTGTTTTTTGAGATAAAGTTGCCTAATTACCTCACAAGTCTATTCTGTGCTAATTCAGCTTATTGTAATTCTACAACTAAGATGTGTAATTTCATGACTGCGCCGTAAACAAAGATTACAAGCCCTGTACCTCAAAACTGAGCATACGAAAATATATTAAACTACAATGTTTTGCAACAGTGCGGGCAATCCGTTATTTGTGTGCTGAACGAAATGTAAAATTATTATGGCGAGATAGGCAAGTATTAAAATGGTAATAAATTTCTCAGGAAGTGAACCACTGCGAGATGAACAATCGCACCGGCCTACCACTATACCGTGAGATCCTCGACAACTTCACGGCTGAGGACTACGCGCGCGACCTGTTCAACAACCTGACAGTCCTCGATCTGAGCCACAACTTCCTCACCCAGATAACGCAAGCCGAGGTATGTAGAGCGGAACAACTCGCTCATAGGTACAGAATTGTATCTTTCTTACTTTAGATGATTGCTAAAATACTCAAAGTTCGCATGATACGTTGAAATGGGCCTTCTTTCTCTATCTAGATGTGGACGTTCGCCCGCGCCCGCGAGCTCGTGCTGAGCCACAACTATCTCCGACGCCTGCCCTGCGCGCCCTTCTTCTTCATGAACAGGTTGGAGGCGCTCAGGCTGAGTGGCAACCCATGGGGGGAGGTGCGCCCTGACTACTTCGCTGGACTGGAGGTGAGCGTGATACACCTTACTGCCGCTGGGATAGCCCAGCTACCCCCTCCCTTGCCCCCATCCTTTTCCTCCGGCAGGAGGAGCGCCCGCGGAACTGTGTATAGGCAACCCGGTGCACTCCGGCGCGTTACGGGCCTGTCTGCCAGAGTCTTGCAGGCGCCGTGCCGCGCGCTGTGTCCCAGCCTCAGCAACCTCGTGTGGTGATTGCTGCTCGTAGCTCAAGGGCTTGAGAACGCTCAGTTCTGGGTCCAAGAAATCAGGAAAACGCCTAAACCATTCCGTCCAGAAAGTAGCCCATTCGTGTGCGGTCAGTTCTCTGAGCGTTGCCTTGCTAACTAACTCGAGCGGCGGTGGCCTGTCCTGGCAGGCGCTGCGAGTGGTGGAGTGCCGCCACTGCCTCATCGCCACATTCGACCATCTAGCCACCTCGCAGCTGGAACACATTGAGGAGCTGGATGTCGGCGACAACTTTATCGAGACCATCGGTGCAGACCAGGTAGACCGGGAAGGCGGGGTAAATTATGTCGCCTGGAAGCGGACAATTACGCACTCATATTTCCTGCAGGTGTTGGTGCTTAAACGACTGCAGAAGCTTCAGCTGGACGGTAACCGGCTAAAGACAGTGTCACACTGTGTGTTCGTCTACAACCAGAACCTGAAGATCATCAAACTTCAGGGAAACGATGTAGACGATACGGTTCGTGACTAGATTTCATTCATTACACCGGGTCCTACCGTTCTGTCGCCATCGGCCAGCCCGAGTCAGCGTTCGTCACTAACCAACTGTTTCTGTTCCTGTTAGGTGTTCCGAGACCATGGCGAGTGTGCTCATCGTCTGCAGGAGTGATCGAGTGATCGGTCAAGTAACGATTTTTATACAACGACTAATATCGTTACCATTGGTACCGATGGTATTCATGTAGAAGTGTAGCCTAGAAGGTGACATAACTTATTGGTTTTTACTTTTTGTTGAAATTATAACGGTGACATAAAAATAAAAAGAATGACAATTATTGAAGGGTTTATGCCGGGTGTTCCATATAACATACCACAACAAACCAACAAGTTGCACTATCAGCCCCGGCGGCAAATCATTCTATTTATACACAGTCCCCAAGAAGGTCTTTCCAGAACCCAAAAGTGTCCCCTCGCTCTTTGGAGCCGGGTCAGGCCGGGTGTGCCGGCCTCAGTTGACTGATTCCGCACGGGCTTTTCGTACCTCCCCCTTTGTCGCAGTTATGAGGCCATAAGATGGGAGAGAGACACCCCCCACCGAGAGAAGCTATTAGTCCGTATGACTAAATTCGTGTTGAAGGAAACAAAATTTACTCCCTAAATCCAACGAAACGTTTAATCAAGCTTTTACAATCAAATGTGATCAGCCCAACCAAAAATATTGTCAGACTGATTACTTTATATCAACCTGACTAAATTATCCAATCAACTTGATTAAAATTTGGTCGACGGAAACAAAATTTCGTTGGTTTTCTTAACACTAAATTTCGTTGAGTTGAACAATCGGTTTTCTGAGTGCCCACGAGCGCTGTGCGGAATCAGTCGGCAGCGACAGCGAGGGTGAGGACCTTGAAAGAAAGAGTGTGAGGACGTCAGATTAAAGGTGCAGGCCTGTAAAACCTAAAAACAAAAATGTCAAGGATTTTTTTTTATCTAGACCCAGTTAAGTAGGTATACGGTCACC